GGGATGGGCCTGAATCAGGCTCAGGCCCTGGGCCTGGAGCCTGCTGAAGATTCTATCTCTCCCTTTCCGTCTGTCCCCCCCACCAAATTCTCTCTCTTCCTCTGCCCCTCTGCCCTCTCAAAAAAATTAATAAAACACCAGATTTTATAATTGTTTAACAGTCGCCTCAATTTTTAAAAATTTTCTCAATTCTATGTCAACATGTTCATTACTTTGAAAGTTACATTTGCCTGTTAAGGCATAATTCAAATTCTGAGGGTAGCCACCATCTAAACAGCTCTCCCAATACCAGACAGCTAAGCGTCCTAAAGAACTTTGTATAAGGACAGAGTGCACTAGGGTAAGATCACTGCAAAGTTATGGGTGTGGATATTAAATTAAAATGACATGGCGGGGCGCCTGGGTGGCTCAGTGGGTTAAAGCCTCTGCCTTCGGCTCAGGTCATAATCCCAGAGTCCTGGGATGGAGCCCCGCATCGGGCTCTCTGCTCAGCGGGGCACCTGCTTCCTCTTCTCTCTCTGCCTGCCTCTCTGCCCACTTGTGATCTCTGTCAAATATATAAATAAAATTAAAAAATAAAAAAAAAATGACATGGCTATCAATATTCTTTGTTTACATTTGTATCTATTATTTATTTTAATGTCTGTTTCTCATAATATATTCCAAAAACAATATTTCTCAACAAAGTATCTTCCACCTTGTCCAAAAAATCAAGTACATGACAATTATAATAAAGATTGTTTGCAGTTTCTACAGATAAATTCCATGGATTTTGGTGATTATATGATTTTTATAAGGATTTTTCTTTTATTTTTATCATGTAAAGATCTAAATTCTACTGATCAATCGAATATTCAAGCATTCAGTATCTACATATCACAAAACCACTGTTGGAAAGACTATGCTAGAAGAAGGAGTAAATACATACATGAATAAGATTATTTACTTTTTAAGAAGAGAAAAAAATGTCCACACAGTTAACTAATATTATAATCAGAATATGATACACTTTATGAAAAAAACGCAAAGATAACAGTTAGGATATACAGAGTAGAAAGCTTCAAACCCAAGCTGTCTGGCTGCACATTCCCTTCTAAAACGACACCACACTGTCAAGAATAGGTTAGTGATTTGTGAAATTGCTAGGTGATGAATAATTGCATCATAACCCTAATGATGGTAAAGCTTGATGTAGGGTCTACTGAAATTCAAAGATAATCTCTCTGAAAACAAACAATATGAATTTAATAATAATGTGAAATAAAAATTTAAGTTATTTTTAGTAAAATATTAATAATGGTTAAAGCTATTGAGTACTTCAACAAAAGTAAGGTATTATTGTGAGCTCATTATCTTCTCGAGCAATCCTTGCAATAAATACATTAAGTTGTGTTTTTTCCTATTTTTACTGGGGATAAATTTAAGGTGATAAAATTATTTAAATTAAATAAAAAAAAACAAAGAAATTAGTCAAGTTTAAACCTACATAAGATGGAGATGACAGAGCCAAGGTTGAGGCCTGAGCCATAGGTATATTAAATTCTTTACTTTCTGGTGTTTTGGCGATATCATCCTTAGGTGCAAATCCAGAAGTTATTTTCTCCTTTTTAGGTGTTGAAGGGACCAAGAATATAGTGAATCAGGAAAGTATAGTGACAGTAAGAATAAAATCACTTTCAAATGCTCCTGCAGAAGAGAAACCAGATTATTTCACTATCTCATAAGTTATTAATGGTTTTGGTACATGCATATGAGGATCAGACTGATTATACTGACTATATTATGCATCTCTGTGTATTTTATAACTACATGTAGATAACATGTTAGAACTTGAATATTCATTTCTTAATTCAAAATAGGAGAAATAAAAGGAGGGACAAATGGTCATGGTAGAGTGAGGTTAGATTCTAAACACAATACTGCCCTAACCCTCCTGTATTTATACAGGGGAAATCTATTCTTCTAACTTAAATGGAACAGATTTATATGCCCCAAGTCATATATTTTATAAAAAATATAAAAGGAAAACTTTGAGTTTAAGATTCAAAACTTTCCAACATTAGATATGCATATGGCACAAGTAATATCACAGTTAACTTTGGATGTCCAGTTCTTTTATTTCTAACCATCTTATGAAGACATTTTTTAAGATTAATGTTGAACTGGGAATTATGTTTATGATAGAATTTATTTCTATTGTTCTCAGTTAGACCAACAGTTGCTTTAGGTGTTTCCATAGCAACTTCATGGGGAACATTTCAAAACACTTCCTTCCAGCAGGCATTCGAGAATATATATGGGCAGTCACTGTGTGAAATTTAGTCAAGAAAATCACTCAGGGACAAAATAATATTTTAATGTCATGTGTCACTTTGTATATTCTTTCTGAATTACAGAGAGTTTGGTCTCCACTCTGTTTCTGCCCACTGCTCAGGTGTTCTTCAGGCTTCATGATGTCTGGAATTTTTCTTTTACCTTTAACATCTCAAAATCTGAAATTCTACTTTCTGGCGATAAACCTATTATCAATATTTCTCATATTGAATTTGATCGTTAATCAATGATTTGTTGTCATTCCCTAACCCTGTGCTATTTTTGCTGTCTAACATTGGTGTTCTGGCTTTACTTGTCTCTACCCAATGAGAAAAATGATGATCAGCCGTTTGAGGAGCATCATTTTTTGCTACTTTGGCATGCCACATTCTTATCACCTTCGGTCGTTTCTGCTTAGCAAATCCTCAATATTGAGTCTCTCCCTGTTAATTCTGCCAGCTTCTGTTCCTAGATAGGTATGATATTACCATATGACACTAATTAGAACCAGCAAATAGGTGACTGTGTAATTGATATCTAAATCAGAAACACTTTTCACTTTGAAAATGAAAGAGGATATTAAGATATTATAAAGATATATATATATCTTATATATATATAAGATAAAAAGATATTATAAAACCAGCTCTGTCTCAGAGAAACTGGGGTGTGTCCTTCCAATGAAAGTAGACCTATTTTCTCATCAGAGTAAGTCTGCAGTGATGCCTGAAATTCTTTTTATTTTTTTAATTTAGTTCTCTATCAGACATTTCCAGTGTTAACTCTAAGTTTGAGTCTCAAGAAATAAATCCCTTCATCCATCCCAAGTTTAATTCAACAGAAGTAATTATTCTTTCCTTCCATTAGAAGATTGAGACCTTACCATGTCAAAATATCTCTGAGTAGTCATTTTCCTTGTGTGATTTTTTAAAAAAAAGTCCTTTAATTCTTACTCAAAGTTCTATTCATTGTTATATTACTTCAGTGGCTTTCTTTTGGGGAGGAAGGTGGAGCCAGGTGGTAGAGTCTGGGGCCATTATAATTTCTTGGTTTTCTTCTTACACTCATCATAGCCTCCCGGGATGTATGAAATGCTTCTAGTCATTATCTAAGAGTTTATCTGTGGTTTTATAGACATCTTTCTGTGAAGGACTTGCTCCTCCATTATAGTAGATATAAGCGTGCCTTAAGCAATTGTCCCTCTCCAATCTTCTTTCTTGCATATGTGCTAGTTGATGGAGAAATATCTGAATTTTCAATGATATCTCAAAGTTAGGAAATCCAAAGCTAAACTCATTTTGCCATTGAGTGTACAAACTTCATTATTCCAATTTAAAAAATTCACTGCATTTCCTTATTGGGTCATAGTAACAAAACCTGGGATTAATCATAAATGTCCCTGTTTTCAGCATCTCCAGATCAAATTAGTCACCTGGTCTTGTAGGCTGTTCTCCCACCACACTTTTTTTTTTTTAAGATTTTTATTTATTTATTTGACAGAGAGAGATCACAAGTAGGCAGAGAGGCAGAGAGAGACGGAGTGGGGAAGCAGGCTCCCTGCTGAGCAGAGAGCCTGAAGCGGGACTTGATCCCAGGACCCTGAGATCATGCCCTGAGCCAAAGGCAGAGGCTTAACCCACTGAGCCACCTAGGTGCCCTACACCACCACTCTCCTTACAGTTATTACCAGGTTGTGCCTTCTTACTGATATTCTGTCAGTTAGTCCCACATAGTGCTCCTACCAGATTAATCTTAAAAACCTTAACTCTGGTCATTTCAAGCCATTAGGCTATTCAAGAAATTTTTATGTTTCTTCTTCTTTTGGTATAAGTATAGACTCCTTACCTTTGCATTCATGGCTTTCCTTTCACTGGCTTCAAAACATACTCCCAGTTGTTTTTTCTCACAGTAGTCCATTTAGTAAGATTGTATGGCGTGCTATTTCTTAATGTTACAGAACATTCATTCTGTTTCTCCTATGGACAGCTCCTGTTGAAACACCATATTCTCATAGTTAATCTCTTCCATGAGAAATTGTTCACTCTTTTATCAAATTTGAAATCTTTCTTTAATTCCCATTAGCATTCTGTTCTTTTAAAATTTATTTTATTCAATCTCATAAATGTTATTTAAGTACTTGTTTTATCCTCCTTATAGGGTGTTGTTTTCTAAAGGAGAAGATATAAGCATTACTCATGGTTTGAATACAGGAACACCAAGCTTACTTACACTAGCCAATTATTAAGTACTTGTTGAAATTGTGTAAATGTGACTATTTGACTACTGTAGAAATATGTGATAACTGTAATGTAAAAATATTGTTAATACTCTCTGCAAGCAAAATTGTTTCTAATAGATAGAAAGAATAATTATACCCCCAAAATAGTTAAACTGGCTGATGCATGAAAAAAGTACAGGATTTTTTTCATAGATAAATCCTAATCTCTGATAGAGCTAAGACTAGATATCCAGTCCTTAATATACCTTTTTTCCTGTTCACTTTAAACAGAGCCCTCTAGAGGCATGCAGACTGCTGCAGTCATTCATGAAGTAGATTCAGTCTTTGAGTTTCCTTAAATCATCACTGATTTGAGCTTACTGTTTTCTCAGTTTAGCCCTAAGAAAATTATGGCCAGTTATTCATTCTCTAATTAACCTAAAAGTGAACTATATTTCATTGCTTGTAGGATGGTATGGGAAATCTGAGAGTCACCAAGAAGGGAATCCGACTTGAAGGTATATCTGAGTTTCTACTTCCATTGTATGTGAAAGAAATTCATTCCCGAAAGGTATGTGATACTGGCTTTGGCTTACTGTGAAAGATAATTTAGAGGTTATGTTTTAGCTTGAAATAGGAGGCTAAAACCCCTTATCTCTTCAGTATGCATTTAGTTTCCTTAAGCTAAAGATTGATTTGAAGAAATCAAAACAGTGAAACAATGGAAAAATCAGTGGAGGTTAGTTTTAAACTGACAAAATTAGAGAACCATTTTGAATTAAACTGCAGTGTTGCTTTGGTTAGTCTATAAATTCGCCCCTCTATTTTTCAATAGAAGTAAAAAATACACAGTTGTAGTAATTTCCAAAGGGGCATTTGATACATCATGAATAATTTTTGCAGGAAATATTGACTTGGATAAATTATTTTATTTTAATATATTATAAATCTTTTTAGCTCAAATCAACATGCATTTTCTAAAAAAGATGAGGAAGAGTCTTAGTATAGAAATTCCATTTATTTTTGGATGAACATTATTTAAAACAAGACTATCCTTTCAAATGTGTGTGTGTGTGTGTGTGTGTGCGCGCGCGTGCGCGCATTTGCCTTGTGGGTATTTTATCAGTTAGCAGCATGCTAAAAATCAAAAGATTATAGCTTAGCCATTGTGTATTTTGGCTTCAGGGTGTTACTTTTCAAAAAGTAGCAAGTATTCTTGGGTCCATGAAAATAAAACTAGAATCTTTCAAATCTATTGTGCAAATGTGTGTATGTATGGAAATTTAGTAAGTCAGAAAAAATGGAAAACTTGTTATTATATAAAATATAATATATTGGAAATTATTATTGGAAATTGGAAATTATAATTGGAAAGATTATTAACCTTACTTCATAAATATGAAAGTCTATTTTAGGCTAGAATAATTTTTAAATATTACCAATATATTAGCAAATGGGTTTCATAGTAAGCCATAGTTTAATAATTTGTTTCAAAGCCATTTTCCCTTAAACATCAAAGGGAAAACAAAACAGAGGATTATTTTTATGAAACTTATTAGGTTAATTGCCTTAACTTTAAATTTTATTTTGTTCTATATGAACCTGCAGAGCTTCACAAATACATTATATTGATTACCACTCTAGGTACTAGAATTTTACACTGAAAGATTACTTGCTGGATTTTGGGGAGACGAACAATATGATAGACACATGTATGGAAACCTGACCTTACTATAAAAACTGATTAAATTTAGAATTAAAAAGTTGTATTTTTGTTTTACTTTCTTTTTATAAAAACTTAAAGACTAACATGCATACCCAAGTTAGTGCCTTCCCCCTGACTAGACATCACCACCACTCACATATTTACTGATTTCTTCTTGTGGTTGACACTATTAAACTGTTGAGTATTTGAGGAAGTGAAAACTTATGCATGGAAATCAAGACATTACTTAACACAGGAAAGTGAGAATAATCATAGGCAGGAACTTCTTCGAAAATGCATTCCACTGACAAGTCCAGGGACAATCTTCGCAGCCGTTTAGATCAATTTGGATGGCTGCCTGGGAATCCAGCTTAGAGAAGAGTTTAATCTTCTCAGCCAGACATTTTTGAGAGTGTAACAACAGTGGTAAACCAGGATTGTCCTGGGAAATGGGGATATATGTTTACACCACCCGTGGACCAAATAAGAAAGAGTCCACTAATGTGTTAGCTTAAGAGTATGAGCTGGTGGCAGTCAGTCAGCTCCCTAACCTTCATCCCTGGGGAAGTTCAGAACCTCAAGTTCATAAGCATTTCCAAAACCCTCTGTGTTGATTGAAACCTTTATGCTCCTTTCACATCCCAGACCTGTTGCTTGGCCTCCCATCTCCTCTCTTATCTTTTGCCTCTCAGTGACAGCGAAGCCTGGCACAGTGAGAGCAGGTGGGACTCTGTGTCCTCAATAGTCAGACAGGAGGCTGGATATGAGAAAAAAACAGAGATCCATTTTCCACTTTGGAAATTTCTCTATACACACACTATGAACACAAATAAAGAGAAAAATATGTCTTTTATAAACAATTCCTGGGTTAGGATTCTTTCGTCCATGAATGTATGCAATTGTTCATTCTCTTCCGTAAAGCCTATTCACTGTTTTAAACAGCCAGCCACAGTTTCCCTGAGTCTGAGTTTTCTTAGTAGTAAAGGGAGTTTCGAAGAAACTTTCAAAACACTGAATCCTTAGATTAAGAAAGAATACCAAAATTTCAGTAATACTAATAGAAATGAGATTTTTAAAAAACCCATTATACATTTCAGTATTTGCATACATTTTCATGTATTCAAATATTTTTATGATAAAATATTAAAGTTCCAGTAGGTCTAACTTAAGGAAATCTACTCAATTCAAAAGATGCTTAGAAAGATTCACTTAAGATGAGAAAAATACTACTACTATGTACAACAATTTTAATTTGTGTGAATTTTTTCCTGCAATTTTGATTTGTGTGTGTGTGTGTGTGTATGTGTGTGTGTTTTCTTAAATTGAGGCCAGTGGGTAGCTTTCTTTATATTTTGTTAGTATGCCACTCTGAAAGAAAGAATTTTCTTATTTAAAGTAACTTCCTGGTTATGTAGGAATTTAATCCCATACAACTAGACAGAGCAATCTCTATTAATCAAAAAATGCAGTTGCCCACAGACACATACGTCTAATCTCCTAACCTAGTAAACCATGTGCTGTTTCTACTCTGAGCTAACTGGTCCCCTGCACCAACCAGCAGATATTTGAATAGATAGATAGATAGATAGATAGATAGATAGATAGATATTTGAAGTTTATTATTATACATCACAGTTTACTCTCTTCTCCATGCTTTAAAAAAAATCAACCTTTTTAAAATGGTCCATTATTATCAGTACAGAGGAGAATGTTATATTCTATGTTTGAAATATCTGAAGAATTAGTATCTTTCAGAATTAGCAACATTATTTTCAGGGAGTAAGTACTTACTGAATATTAGTGAAGTTAAATATATAGTTTACTTTAGATAGGAAAAGTACAAAGGATATGGGATTTAGGGCTACCTTACATAAATGATAACAATGACAATAAGATTTTGAATCAGTCTTCAATGTACATGATCTAACATGAAGTCAGAATCTTTGAACTGTCAGGAAATTAGGACATGTAATCATCAGATTTCCCCCCCCCCAGGGTTTCATGAGTTCAGAGAACTAAGGTGGTTAAATTACCTACATTTCACTGATTCTTGCCCCCAAAATTTGCGTTGTGCAGTTCTTTAGAACTTTTTGTTTTACCTAGCCTCATCTGGTATTAACTGAACAGCTCTCTTATTAATTTTTTTCTGCTCAAATGTCCTTAATTAAGGTGGCACCTCACTGTTGATCCCTATCCCAGCATCCTTCATCAGGATCTGATAATTATGCAGGGGAACCACTACCATATAATTCCAATTCCTGTACCTCCTCAACAAAGCAAAGTGGAATTTGAGCTCTTGGGACTCCTGTGTTAGCACAGCTGGGAGTAGGGCCATGTTCTCCCTTTCATGTACACTCATTTCACCTGGCTTCAAAGCTGGGATGCTCAGTTCTTGGCACAACCAGTTTTTGGCCTTGTGTCTTCAATTATTTTTTATAGAGTTCAGACACAAAGCCATGGGGCTGGACAAACATAGCAAACCTCTTCCCTATATACACAACATACCCAACTCAGGTACTTTGGCAAATATCGTCCATGCAAACCAGTACATACAAAGATATCTGCAAGCTTGTGTAACCGTTTTATTATCATCATTATTATCATTATCATTTTAGTGTTTAAGTGTTTAAATTTTAAGTGTTTAATTAAGTGTGTATTATTTTACTATAATGTCTTTAAGTTAAAAACACAAATCATGCCCTAAATGATTACATACAGAAAAGAAGCTATTAACATATGATAAACATCATCCCAATTAGATAATTACACATCTGCACAAATGAAAGGGTAAGTATGGAGAAAGACATGTACATGATATTTTTAATTAATACGTTACACATGCTTTAATAAATGAAAAATCTGAAATAAATGGGAAAACACTGCTGAACTTAAGTATTTCTTTATCATAAGGATGTTTTTTAAAAAACTTGTCTTTATGGTTAAGAATAAAAGACTATGAATATCATTAAGAAGCTGGATGCATTAACTCCATGTTTTAATTTCAGACAGTGTTCATTAACTCCCTGCAGTGCAGTCTGAGGTGATTAGCTCCTCTCCAATTTCTCCTTATCCCTCTTCATTTTCAGGGTTTTTTTTTGTAATTATATTATTTTAACTTTGTCAGAGTTCATAATATTTACATTCTGTTCTGCAACTTTAATTGTGTTGGCACTTTGGTCTTAATTCTACAGATAGATGGCTGTGGTACTAACCATCAGCTCCTTTTATTATGGCTTCTTCATGACTGAGTTCATTATTCCAATCATTTCCTCCTTACTTGTATTTCATTGTTAATTAGTTTTGTTTGTTAATCCTTGAAATATTTCATGCTGAAGGTGTCTCACTATTGTCTTTATTCCTTTCTGGGAATATTACTAATGGTTCATCCCTTCTTTTCCTGTTAACTAATTGCTCTCTTAAATTCCACCACTGAATATTGCCATAAAAAGTCTTCAGGCAGCCTGATATGTTTCTCCTGCTGATGACACAAACTTTCTGCCTTGATGCCAGATACATTTTTGCCATTTTATTTTAAGGAAGTGTTGTCAAATGTATCACTCAGTATCTTTCATTTCCATATGTTTGGGGCTTCACTTCAGAGAAAGCAATAATTCTTGTGTTGGATCATCTTTGTTGTGCACAGCTATAATTTCTTTAATTATTTTTAAACTCTTTATTTTTCCTCTGAATGCAAGTAACTGTTATTATCTGCAGTCTTTCTTCCATGTCTTTATTTTTCTTCACATGAATTTTGCCCTTGCTCTAATGCTTTTATTTTATGTATAAGGGTATTCTGATTATTGGAATTTTCCATACATCCGTAGTCTCCTTGTAAATGGTATTAAGGTATTTTATTGTCTTTGAGC